AAGCCTTATTAGAAATGTACGAATCTCTAGAAATGCGAAAAAAAAGGCCGATATTTGAAAATTATAGCTTCCCTCTGTAGATTAAGGTTGTTTGGGGTTTACAAGGTAGGATGCCCATACATCATCTGCTGGGGGTGGCGGTTGAACCCAATGACCAGGTATACGGCTGCAATTTCGAGTTCGATTGATAAGAGGACCATATGAGACTAAATTCTAATATGACCACGAGAAAATTCACTTGTAGGAAAAATGCTTTTTAAATACTTGCATTACGCTTTAGTTATAAAGGATAAACGAGAAACACATACGCATGCATACGTGTGCGTGAAAAAGGGAAAATGAATAGACTTTCTACAGAGATGTTGAATCTCTGAGGAGAAAGCGCAATTTACGCACCTTCCTCCAGGTCGTATGTACGTGTCCCATGTTCTTCTAACCTGCAATAAAGGACGAAATCACACTAAATTTACAGAAACCTCTAGCATCCCATAATTACGAATAGGGTAAAAATACTCAAGAAAATGGTTTGTGAGAAATGAATATAATATAAACTACATATAAAAGTCAGCAATCTCATCCTCATTTGTTTATATAATCGGCTTAGCTCTTGTCTGGTCGATAAAAATAGTCGTTACAAGGGACAATACAAATGAAGCACAACCAGAAAGTATCGACAAACTTCTGTCCATAGAGCATTGCGCCAAATTCAAATTCGGCTAGCAAATTAGTGATAAGGTGTAAGAAAATATAAGCTAAATAACGGTGAAATTTTTTTTCCAGTATTTACCTCAATGAGCGTGCCCATATCGGTATTGCTCCCATGATAGTAATGGTAAAATTCCATGGGCAAATTAGCAACAGAGTCGTACAAGCTGCCTGAAGATGGTCCATTCATTTCACGTCTTTTAGCTTCTTGGACAAACATTTCTGAAGCTCCTTCATTACTAATCTCGTTCTTCTGGTCTTGCCTTTCCCCACCTCCATCATTATTAAGCTCTAATTTTTCCGAATTGAGTGAATGATTGCGGATTTCTTTTGTTGACTCCTCAGCATTAGCAATAGCATCTTTAGCAGCATCTGTAACAGATGCCACCATGGATTGACGTTCCTCCTCCTCGACTGCAGCTCTAACACGTTCGAGAAATTTATCATCTTCTTCCGGGAAAAAATGACCTGCAAAGTAATATCTGGATTCAGGTACAGCTTTCTTCTTCAATTAACCAAATTTAATTTTGAAAAAGCTGAATGGTTAGTTGTTAGTGGGATTTTAATTTTATATTAAAATAATATTTAATATAAAATAATTAAAGTTGATTTAATGTAAAAATAAGAGAGAAATGATGTGAAGTAATAGTTAGTTAAAATGATGGGAATGGATGAATAGTGAATTAAAGTTGATGTGATGTGTAAGAATGATTGGTTTGTGTTATTTAATTATATTGGTAATACTGAGGATAGTGGGGTTGGGTTAAAGTTGAGTTAGACTTTGAGTATGAATTGAATGTGAATGAATTATTTTGTAAACAAACAAACAACAACAACAACAACAACATACCCAGTATATTCCCAACAGGTTGGGGTCTGGGGGGTCAATTGTACGCAGACCTTACCCTTGTAATTATACAAGGAGGCTGTTTCCGTAGCGACCCAAGGTGCATTGCTCCGTTTGATATATATTTTTTTTTTCTAGAAACTTCACTAATAGAAGAAGCACTAGAATTTAATTGAGTCATTTTGATCTAGTCCATTATTAGTACTATGCCTGGAGAATTGTCAACAATGACTCTTCCAGCACCATTTTGATCTAGTCCATTATTTTGTAAACAAACATCCTCTAATATTATGGGATAAAATGTAAGACAAAAGCAAAACCTAGATCATATGTGTAATTCGGAGCCCCTGACCTCGGGGACAATTTTTGTAATTCTCCTACATTTTTACCTTGTTTTTTCAGTTTCTGTATTCTGATTGAGCGTAACTCCTGCAGCTTTTCAACTATCAACACTAGCTCGAGCTGAAATTACAAGATTGTATAGGTATGAGTATGATTGAAGGGCTCGAGAAACAAATTAGACGAGGAAAAAAGATAAGGACAGTAAAAAATGCACACAAGTGGTACAAGACTAGGCAGCAACAGAAACTCCTCCAAAATGGACCATACAAGCATCCTCAAAGCAATTGAAATATAATTTTCAATATTCGATTGATAAAATTATAGGCTACTAATATCATGAGATAATCATAGATAACGTTGAGACTTTATGAGAAAAGATACGCAAGTGATAATCGTAGAACTCTGCAGAGTTAGTGGAAGACGATACATATGATGCATTGGCCACAAAGAAGACCAAAAAAATACATGACCGCTATATATCATAATTCATAAATGCTTGATAACTGAAGCCAAATATCACTTATTATTTCCCAAGATTTAACCACGTTAAAGATTTCAAGATATCTAGGAGGAGAGTTTTGAGGCAGCCAGCTATATATGTGTATTAGTCAATAAGAATCCAAGCAGAAAACAAAAGATTGAAACACCATCAAAGCTGAAACTGAATTTCAGATAAACAAATCATGCAACGGTAAGTATTATAAAAATAGTGACATTCTGCATCTTCAAGGTTATTTTCAGTAACAGAGTTGAGAAGAATCATACAGGTGAATTTGTGTTGCTGGAAAACTGTCATGAGATGGGAAAAGGGTTTCCTAAAATTCGGATAGCATACACAGGACAACCAATAAAAGGGGCATATGACTAAAACCCTCACCTCAGATTGCAGTTTTTTCTTTTCCTCTTTTGCCTTTATCTTGGCTATTTCCTTCATCTTTTCTACCTGTAAAAATACCGATGCCTCTTCACTAAACCAAAAGGATACATGATAGAATCAGCTCAATAAATTTCCATAAGAACAATAATCTAGAAGATGCACTTAATGAACAAAACATCTCCCACACATGAAGATAAGAGACCATGAGACCATCCAGGACAGAACATTACAAAATAAAATGTACGGAAACTACAC